ACCAAGTAAATACAGGGCTGGTGTTCTGACAAACCATCCTACTTTGGCAAAACGTCCTACCGTATGCACATTTCTGCTGTCACAGAGTAATTCCAGCACATATTTAAGTAGGTATGACGGTTTGCCACTAAACCGTGCCCTTCAGAGTATGCTTGTAGCTCATATTCATAAAGCCAGGATGGTTTGCTGCTTAATATTACCCGTCAGAGTATGTTTCTAGCTCTTATTAACCAAGGTAGGATGATTTTGCCACTGAATTTTAGTTGTTAAAGTATGCTTCTAAGCAGTGTTGGTCAAGTTACTTGAAAAAAGTAATCAGTAACTAATTACTGGTCATATTCACAAAGGTAGAATTGTTTGGCACTGAATTTTACCAGAGTATTTTTGTAGTTAGGGTTAGATTGAAAATGTGACGTCATTTCCAGGGTAAAACCGCAAAGGATTGTAGGTACGAGTGGCAAGTGGTACGAATTGAATTCATTGTGCTATGCTGCTTTGTTCACTGTGGCTTTGCGGGCTAATATTTGTTGTGTTTTGTAGGAAAACCAGCCTACAAAATGCTGGAATGCGATCCAGACTGTGCGCCCTCTACCAACCTGGGTCATACCGAGTTTAAAGCTGCTACCACAGCGAGATTTAATCGGTTAAGAGAGAGAGCGATATTAAAACAGCCACGAAAAGTCACGCATCTGCCACCAAGGAGTTGTTTAACTGCCTCAGTGACCTTGCCCCCAGAAATTAGCGGGTCACCCCCCCTCATCCCCAGACTCTGCTTCCTCCTCGGAAGACGTGTCAGTGGGATTAAGGAGGTCCTCAAAGTATTCCTTCGAGGAATACTTACAGCCTGATAGGATTCCTTCTTCAGCCTGGTGGCTCCCTTCACCTCTGGTGTCCACCAGCCCGCCGGCTCTCACCAGGGGCAACTCCAGACTGAGACAGAGTCCAGCCCCTCTCCAGAAGACTGGTTCCAGAGCCCAAGCTATGCATAGAGGTGAGCCCGACTATATCGAGCCGGTACCTCTCAACCTCACGCACGGGGATCAGTCTGTCAGGGCCTCTTCTCCTGGCCGCCACCCAGCACACAATGCACCCGACCCCTACACCCCTACAGCGCCACCTGCGGGTGGTGGGCCTGAGGGAGGATGGGCCTATGTCCCCTTTTCGGGCTGTTCCCGGCCGAGCCCCATGGACTAAAGCCCAGCCACCAGACGCTTGTCCTCGGGCACGCTCCAGGGCGGGGCCCCAGTAACCGTATCCCGGGCAGGGTAAACTGTTCCCTCAATGTTTTCCTCATAAGGGTCTTCTGAATTGCTCTTTGTCTGGTCCCTCACCCAGGACCAATTTGCCACGGGAGACCCTACGAGGGGGCAAAAAACCCCCAGACAACATAGCCCCTGGGATCCCTGGGACACACAAACCCCTCCACCACGATAAGGTAGCGATTTACAGACTGGCTTGTGTGCATTAATCTTATTATAATTTAGTTTTGTCTTCCTGGAATTTTA